CGCCCATACTAGCCAATTTTTCAAGCTAGTTGACTCGACATACCAGTTTACAATCCTTTAATCAGCTGGGTCTTACTGCGAATGCCGCTGCATTGCCACAACGTGGATATTCTGATATAAATCTCAGATAGTCTGAACCTAGGTGATCGACGGCTCTCTTACGAGAACGAGGAACGAAACGAATTCGCTCAAGCGATACTGGATAGCTTGGATTGTTTGGAAACAAGTCGCCTCTATTTCTTAGGGCACTCTCGAGGCGGAGAGAACGCTTTACAGTTGGCTACGTCACCCTTGAACATTGTAAGGTCATGAAACCGCTGGCTTCTTTTGAGCCTTTCAAATTTAGTTTTCCAATTTTTCTGCTCAGTTCATGCAAATATTTAGAGGAAAGTCCGCGGATTAGTGATGCTCAACTCGGCGGGTCTTCGAATACATCGTGGTATTGAGCCATTGTGGAAGATCGGCATCACTCTGCGACTGTTAGATCTTCGCGTGCTGAACTTCGTTCTTCACCCATTCCTGTACGTTGGTCAGTATTTAATTCTGTTACTCTCTCGAAGGCAAATTGTACACTCACCTCCGAGGACGACACTTGCTGTGGGTGAGGCGAGTGGGTCCACAGCTGCTATAGCGTGTCACTCTCCGCCCAAAAGTGCACGGGAACGGGGCTGCAGTGGTACCCCGGTGCTATCTTCCGACTCCGCCCGCGCTACCCTCAAAGTGCAACCTTTGCATAGCTGCCAAAACCCCGCAGAGAACAGTCATAGTCACAGTAGGGATCAACCAGAAGCGAAGAGGGCGCAGACAAGTAGCGCATTTCACTTTGGTTAGGCGTGTAACTGCGTAATTGCGAGGCGGAAGTCCGTCCCCCCTCCCCCCCCCCCTGACATCCGGCTAGTTACTCTTAAATCACCAATCCCAAGCACTTTTGCGGGCAAATCGGCAAGTGTTTGCAAGTGGCAAGTGATACGGGCGCGTTCACCTCGTGCAAGGCAACTATCAAGACCCAAGGAAGTGTCTGTACAGTTTGTCTCCAAAACAGTTACTTCACTCTTGAAAAAAAAATTGATGTGCAGCTAATAATCGGATTGAGTTGCACTAATTCTAGTCTACAACTATATTCTCGGACTTCGAGTGCCATCGGGGTCAGCTGCCGAGACATCATTACGTTCAATGCAAACCTTCGCTTTTGGTCATGTTTTACCGTGCCTCGACGTCATCAATCAAAATAATCAGGTAATTTCTGAGAGGTAATTTCGCCTGCAGTCATTTCATTATATTATGCCGTAAAGCGCAGTAGTCATAATACGGTAATAATGCGTGGTATCGTTCCTACCTGCCGTGAGATTCGGCTTGGGAGAATTGGATGTTGTTTGTGAACCCGAAGAGCGGTGAAGGAGGCGAAATAGGCGTTGCAAACCATATCATGTGCATTTACATCACAACAAAGGCGGTTCATCGTGGCGGTGCGGGATTGCCTCAAACTAACTTTTTAGGAATTATTAGCGGTCAACACTAAAGCAATATCTGACGAGGATTTTAGGGGGATTTTAGAGGCTGACCCATCCCAAACAGTTCGAGAGATAGCAGAAGAGCTAGGCCTTGGCAAATCCACTGTTGCAGATGGTCTGGAACGCATTGGGAAGGTGAAAAAACTCGACAATTGGGTGCCCCACAATCGGAGTGACCGGCAGGAATCGGCACGTCTCGAGGTTCCTTCTGCATTGCTTTTGCGCAGCAGAAACGACCTGTTTTTGGGCCGAATTGTCACCTGTGATGAAAAATGGGTCATGTATGATAACAGGAGACGTTCCGGACAGTGGTTGGATTTCGAGGTAATTTTCAAAGCCGAACCCTCACGAAAAAAGATTCTGGTCACGGCTTGGTGGTCATCGGCTGGTGTGATCCACTATAACTTTTTATCACCAGGCCAAACCATCACAGCAAAAACCCTGCTGTGAAGAAATCGACGAATTGTACCGAAAATTTTGTCAGATGCAGCCAACACTTATCAAAAGAAAGGGTCCGATTCCTTTGCATGACAACGCCCGCCCACATGTTTCACAAATCACTATCCATAAATTGAACGAATTGGGGTTGAAGTTCTACCTCAACCGCCATATTCTTCAGACCTTTCGCCAACCGACTATCACCTTTTCTAACATTTTCAGAACTCCCTTGCTGGAAAATACTTCATCAATCAGGACCAGGCAAAAAAGCCTTAGTGGATTTCGTGAATTTTCGACCACCCAGTTTTTTACTTTGATGGGATTTCTCGACTGCTGTCACATTGGCAAAAGTGTGCTGATTCGAATGGTGCCTATTTCGATTAAATCCGATGAGCTACTAAAAGTTGACGATCGTTTAAAAGGCAGCGCCGCGTTTATTTGTTGTTCTCACGCCCTCTCTGGATCTAGTAGCTCTCCCCTATGAGGATGGTGGACGTGCATGTTTCGCAACCCAAAAATGCGACGGAACAGCGGCGTCCGCCCGCAAAGAGCCGACGGCTCCGCCCACCTGCCGACCACGCCACCCAACTTCATTTCTAATGGTTGCCTGATGGTGCGGTTGTTCCATTGCTGCTTCTCTCCACGTCGAGTGGTGAGAGTGAGGTGATAAGGGAAAACAGCTGATATCAACAAGTGGAAACTCGTGCAATCACTCCTTCTCTTCGCCTTAAAGACAGCGCCCGCGATGGACTTTGGCAGGTCTCAGGGGTCAAATTTGTTAGAACAGGTGGCCAATGAAGCACTAATCAAAAAAAGTAGGAAAAAGGTGTGGAAGAGCGTGAAATAAGACCCTACGAAATTTAAGGCATGTGGACGAGTTTCGCAGACCTTTGGTGAGTTCTCCAATACACGTCGCCGGCTCGGAACTCCAGAAACTTAGCGTTTATCAATGCCAGCAAGCACTGATAACTGTTAACCAGTCGGGGCGGGATTAACAGGGAAGGCGTCAGCTCAGCCTTGTTGACTCCGCCCTCGTCAATCAATACATTTCGAGCCGCAAGAGTGGGATATCCGCTATGGTTGCGAACTCCGCGTTCGTTTTCATTGGAGGGTTTTTCACTTTGGTTGATCGCGGACGCTGCCTTTAAGAACGTAAAACCGTTGTTCGGTATGAAACGGTATGTATGTCCTAGTCCTTCTACGGCCTTTGCCGTGTTTTTATCTGTTTGATGTTTTCTTCCACTAACTAGGCTTCTTGCCTGACCATCGCTGTTACTACCTTGAAGCCGCATACTCACTGAATTTTGAACGCGGGCGTGCCTTTAAAAGTTGTAAGACCACCCAAAACGCTGAGAACCTTCCGAACAAATCTAATACAACTCCGTGCCGTGTTCAAACGGCCACGCCTACTCTGGGCTCAGGATAAGGAGTGTAACTAACAGCACACGCCGACCCGGACGCCCATCGCAACCATCCGCCCAAAAATGGCCGTACTGCACATCGACGCTGGCATTTTATCGCATTTATGAAGCACATATGAAGTGTTGCTTCGTGGATATATAAGTGCATTTGTGCAGAAGATCTATCAAGCAGTTGTTGGCACGATGTCAACGGGAAACCCGTCCGAATAAGCTCGTCCAGTGACGTGTAGAACCAAAGTTTGCCGCAGACTCAATGCCGTTTAACTTCGCTTTTTCGTCATTTTCGCACATAGCATTTTATTACTACTTTTGAGCGAGTACCAAATTATCATGCCATATCCCGTCAAAAAACAACCCATAATGCTTCATCGTCCGCCGTAGTTGCTGTTCTTATATCCAAAATGCTTGTGGAAGGCATCACTTCTTTGAAAAATTTGTAGCAAGTCGTCCCCCGCCACTCTTCCCCCCCTGGTCTGTGAGCACATCAATTACACGTAGTATGTTGCTGATGTTAAGTGCGAACATTATGTGAAGAATAATATCCACTTTCAAGGTACGATTTCTACACGCTTATTCTGGGAGCGATTTCCTGATAGAGCCCGAAATCAGCAAAGAGTTCGCATCCAAATTGGAAAGAAGGGTTGACTTGGTAGGCGATTTTGCTCGTTAATTTTTGAAATCCTTATGTAACTCTAAAGAATAAGACTCCGTATTCCTGATACAGCAGATTCTCTGCCTTCATTGTTTATCTATGGAACAGTATGAAACTTACTTCAGGAATGCTCGGTTCCTGATAGTGACGTAATCACTCAAGCCACGATCAAAGCTTTCTCAAGCGGCTATCAGACGGTATCGGTCAATTTCGTGAAGGAAGGCCACTTTTTGCAGAAATTTCGTGCCAAGTATCTTATCGATGTGATACTCACCCTTATACAAATGTGATCTCTTGTTGTACCTTATAAAAAGATAAATGATAGAGCTTTTGCCGTTGTTCAATACCTTTTTGAGGGAATTCTATACAGCCTTGTTCGGTGCGGGGGCGTGTCAGGGAGCCGGGTGTCAACCTGCTCTCCACCAGCTGTGGTCGCTGGCAAGCGAACCCCACAGGTGGGAAACGGGCTGGCGCCGCGCCAAACCTAGCCACTGATACGCCCCTTCATCCACAGGGAACACTGCGATGATTTTTGCAGTTTTTTAAGTGTTGCAGTTTTATATAGGTAGTGAGCTTGTATAAGCACGTCTAAGCAGTTTTCGGGACGCTGAAGTTGTCACTCGATGGCCAACCTGTCACTGAATTTCACCACTTTATCACACAACGCTCAATGTTCGACGCGTCTCCGAGTGAGCAAGGCTGTCGCTTTTAGGAGAAGTGCAAGGCTTCAAGGCTAGGCTATGCGAGGAAAACCTCCCTCGCCTAGTCGGACTCGGAAGGCCAGAATCTGTAATCGTTCTAGTTATTGGCTGCGACCGTTTCCGCCGCACACCAAACCATTTGGTTTGTGAGATGTCAAAATTACAGGTATTGTGCTCTTTCTATTGACATGCATTCGCTAGCATAGATGGAGATGTGGCCCATAGATGTTCCAAAAAGATGGAGTTCTCACCCATATGGCTAAGAAAGTTTGGGATTGGTTCAAGGGTAACTTCTCGGCGCTTTGTCGAATCCAATGGTGTCCTGCTCCCTGAAGTATTTCAAGAAAATAAACAAAATGGAACACAGAGCTCTGATTATCTGAAAGCTCCTCTCGAGGACTAACAACTGTTCTATACTCCTTAACAAACGTTTTTTTTTCTGGCGTTTGCTACGGGGTCATAGTTTATCCCTCAGTTCCGGAGCTTCCTATCTTGGAATTCCCGAGTTCCGGAGATTCCGGGCCCGGAATTCCGAGATAGGAAACCCGGACCGCGTCCGTGGTAATTAGGCTTCTTGCCAATGGCTCCCCTACGATCGATCCCTGCAAATGAAAAGGCGAGATAAGAGGCGCGAATTGGAGCGCAGTCAGGGCAGCCTTTTCCATCAACTGTTGCGGACTCAAGATGGCATCACCGGTCGTGGAGATCAACCGTAGTAGCGCTTTCATTCGCGCCCCACCCCCCCCTCTTTCAGTTGCAGAGATCATGACTTGATATGTATATATGTGAACATATGTGGCAGTGATTCTTTAGAAATTTATTCACAAAATACAAATATTAACATTGTTCTCCTTTTGAATGTAGTCTTTGAAGACTCAGCGCTGATCCTCCGGGGCAGAGATTAGGGACCACCTCAGTGGATACGTCCCTGCTCTTTAACACGTTCGCGGCGGCGTGTACTCCCGGGAGTACACGAAAAAACTCCGCTTTCGGCGAATCGTGTACTCCCGGGAGTACACGCGCCTATGAGCTCGTTTTTGTTGTTATCTTTATCTTTTTCACTGAGAACTGAATTCAAATAATCAAAGCGAACAATAGAGAAAGAATATTCACACTCTCGGAGAGGCGTGTACACCCGAAAAACATTCAAAAAAATTTTCTTTTCGTGCGAATCGTGTAGTTCCGGGAGTATGCGCGCCTCTTCGCTTGTTTTTGCTAGTTACCTTGTTTTCATTAATAGTTATATACATGTAATAAAATAAACTGTAGAGAAATAAGATCCACACATTAGATTAGGCGTGTACTGCCAAAAAAACGCGAAAACTTTTCTCTATAGGTCAATGTCTACCTTATGGAGTCCCGGGACCGCCTCTTTGCTAGTTTTTTTATAATTTTTCTCTTTTTTTCACTGAAAATTATATGCAAATTAATAAAATAAACAATACAGAATTAAGAATAAGAGCATCTCTTATGTATTTCGTGAAAGCAGGTGAGGTAATAGAGGTTTTTGCAACAGGAACAACAATTTTTT